GGTCCGATGGAAACAGGAGGTGAGGTATCCGAATCCGTCTTTGTTCTGGCTGTGGAGTGGTGAGGTGCTTCACTGGTATCATCCGCTTCATATGCCCCATCATCGTTCTCTGCAGGCCACTCCTCCACCGCTCTTTGATCCCCAACGAGAGGAGTCCACGGCCCACTTGCTGCAAATACCATTGAGCTCGTCCAAAAGGGTCTTCACTCCACGGTGCCGGAAGAACAGTTGAGGGAAGGCAGGTGGCAGGTGCAACAGCAGAACGGTCCAACCGGTCCCCGGTCCCTCGGACGCTGTTGACGTTTCTCACGTTGGTTAAGTGACCCAACTTGAAGAGCTCTCGAACCTGCTTTGCTTCGTAAGAAGATGCGTCTCTTTCCGCAAGACGTCGAAGCTCATGGTTTCAGAGTCATGACATTCCATTGAAGTTGAAACTTTTAGCGGGCCTGCGATTGAAGATAGTGAACCTCTGCAAACTTTCCCTCAAAGTGGTCAGCCATGCACATGAGGACGTCAGCATTCAGGTCTACGGATTTCGTGCAAACTGGTTGCCTCTCAACGTCATTTTCATCTTCATCACCTTTATGTGTGACAAAGCAAGGCCACTTCAGGAAAGAGATTCCCTTTCAGAGCCTGCTTCTCACCACGGCGCATGAGTTCAAAGCACTCTGAAGAAGCCATGTCGCTAAGATGAACTGACTGTCGGGCAGGGAAACGATAGCTATCACTTGAGTCGAGAACTGCGACTTCAAAACCCCAAGAACGTCGATCAACCCACCCTTTTGTCGGAGCAAAAGTGACTCAACGGGACCTTGCAGGACTCAAGCGTGGCACCTGAGCCAGATTTGGATCTTGCCATCTCCTCAGCGATCCGCGCCAAGCATGGCAAACGGCTTTGCGTCGTGATTTTCGGGAGGCAGTGCAAAGCGATAGTACAGGTCTTGCATGCTTTTACGTATGTTGCGTTCAAGATTCGGGTCATCAATGGATACAGCATGAAGTGGCCATGGGGTCTTTCAACGATTTGTGCACGTCGATGTCATGTCAAAAGCACTCGAACGTGGCACGTTGGACTTTCCGCTCCTTCAGCGTCTGAGGCCAGAGCCATGTGACGGCGGAAAGCAGCGCAAAATTGGTTCCCGTCAGTGATTGCAACTAACATACAGTTTCCTTGCCATATATGTCATTTCCATTGACGGATTTTTTAGTGCATGGACAAGTCTTGATGTCGGTTGGGAATTGGTTGGGAACCGTGTCATGTTCTGCGTGTCACCTGTCACCTTAACCTGAACAGCTCCGGGAAAAATGCTTGGCCAGCATATGAGCCTATGGCGTTGTGGAACCATCTTGGACAGTTCACTATTTTAAGCGAACGTTCCCGGTTTTATCCTCCGTGTAGCACACAACGATGAAATTGTTGCCACCATGCAAAGTGTAGCAAAAATGACACCACTGTAGACCTCAAACAGTTGACCACCCCAAATCTGCATCTCGAAAAATGACTATTGGAAGGTAATGCTGTTGCCAGAAGGCGGATGCAGTGAAAGGTTGAAAACCCATGGCAGGATTGTCCTTTGTCAGTTGCTTGTGAATTGAAAGAAAAAGGAACCTGTTTTTCTCCGCTGGAGGTCTTGGTGGCTTGATGAACCAATCTGGCTTGAAGACCTCGTTTGTTTGGCTTCGATCGATTGGTCCTGTTTGCAGGCCAAAGCTTGGAATCCGAGGCCACGGCTTTTGAAACAGCGCTTGTAGGTGGAGTTGGGGAAGTGAGATAAGAGGAACTCATTGGAATTTAGTTGTCTATTTGCTTTTGTTGAGTTTTTGTTTACCTTGGATCATATCCATCTCTAACTTTGATTTTCTTCCTTGGTGCTAAACTGCCTGCTGTTACTCCTGCAAGAATAAAGCTAGCAACGTTCTTGGCAGCGATCACGTGTCAAACTCAAGAGAGTCTTCCTCAAAACCAATCAAGCCAGCAGTGTTGACTGCTGCGTTGCAACTTCGTGGTCTCGCTTTGCAGCCGTTTAGAGTTCCTTCCACCATGGTGGACGTCCGTTTAACCTTCCGAAATGCTCTGATCTTCGAAGATGGAGAAGGTCTGGGGTGGGTGGGAACATTGGTGGCATTGGCTTGACATGTTTTCACAGATTGGGACCGGAGTTTTCAAGTCTGAAGTGTTGCGAAACCTCTCGCAGGTTCCAACGCATGCGCCGCTGGACGAGGAAAGCTGCAGATCTGGCAGATGGGGTGCTCTGAAAAGGTTCTGTGACTTCAATTCCTGCGGAAACATAGATGGACAATCGTACGGGTCTTGACTTCATCTGACTTCCATAGCGGAGTTCCAGCTCTCGGTTTCACCCATGTCTGGTCCATTTGGTGGATTTTCCACGACGTGTTCGGCGCAACCGGTAGACCTACGCGGCTTTGACGAGGAGCTTGGTGCCCTGATGCTGCCTGGCATGCTAGAGGACCACTGGGAGAGCGTCGGAACGGGGGGCGATCTATGCGTCAGTTTTTTTGTGTCTGTGTATTTCCAAACAGACCTTTATACTTGGACTTACACATGTTCTGCCCTCTCCCCTGGCCTGTTGGTGTTCCAGCAAGTGGGAATTCTATTGCCAGATGATGATAGGCACTCTTCCTTGCAGTCGTCCATGGAGGTGTAGTTGAAGATGGCTCGCCAAAATATACAGCAAATGTCCTTTTCCCACCCATTTACTGGTGAGCCGTTCTCAGACCTTTTGGAGGGGGGTCTCCAAGATGTAGCCACCGTGCAAGTGGACGGCGTAAATAATTCTCTTACACATCAAAGCCATGCGTTCTGAATCGCTGGCGATGCATGCTCGGGATTCAACAGGGTGGGTCAAGCTTGGCATCATCTCTTTCTTTGATCAACAGCCTGACGCTACAACTTTAACATACACCCCAGGATTCCCAGTTCATATTTTCAATCTCAAGTAAATGTGTTGTGTTTGTTTTTTTCTCTTGACGTGTGACTTGGGTTGTAGGTTGAGGTATAAGATTCAAGGAAACTTATCCTTTCTCATCAAAGGTTTGATCCGATGTTTGCCCATGTTTGTCCTGGTACACTTTGAGATGCCAGGAGCCTGCCAGCGATCCGCCACTGCCATCTTCAGCGAAGGCATCATGTGAGCATCGAAAATATCAGGATATCTCGCTTGGAATGGTTGCTGCCTGGTTGAAACAGTTGGGCCGAATGAAACATTCTTGCTTGGAACGCCAAGAAGTGGCGACCAGGTAGCAGTCAGATCAGATCCCTGGTTTTGGCTGATGCGGGACATGTGGATGGTGTTTGTAAGCTTTGGCAAGACATATTCTGCTGGAATAGGTGGTGCGAACACGGCGCTCCACAGACTGAGTCACCAACCATTCGGTGATGTGAATCACATACTGCTTTGTTTGTCGCTTACCAGGGATCCTATAGATGACCGTTGGTGTCCCTTTGGTTGGCTGAACAAAGAAGATCCTTTTGTTGCAGCCCCATACTGTATGATTTAAGAGTTGAAGGTGGTCTTTTTCTGAACAGACCCCCTTGGCGGCAGGGGATCAGCCGAGTGGATTCTGAGAAGATCCTGCGGATGAGCAGCTCGGCCGGTTCCTGCTCGCGAGGCGTTTTTTCTTTTTCGCCTGGAAGGACTTTGTTTCCTCTTGGGAGTTTTGTTCGAATGAGTTGCTTTTTCTTGTTAACATCAGTACTGATTTGACCAGTTCCCTGTCGTCAGACCATGGTAGCTGGCTTTGAAGTGTGATATTCCTTCCACCTGTGTTGGAAGGGTGTGGTCATAGCCCAGAGGTCTTAATGGCTTGAGGGGTCAGCCAAGCCTCTAGCCTCTATGGTGGAGTTGTCTCCACATGTTGTGAAACTCGGTTCTTCAGCTGTGGGGCCACGACTGCAGTTTCCGTTTGTTCTTTGTCGCGTTTGTCAACACTTCAGCGCGGCAGGGCACAAAAAAGCATCAAAGATTGCATGCGACATCTTGTGAAGTACTGAGCAAGATAAGCTCCAGATCTTTTCTTGCTGGGCATAAGTGCTATAGCTAGAAGATGATAGGAAGCATTTGTCCTCCATTGTTGGCAAGAAAATTTACTGGTGGGCGGAGTGAAGATGATATCACACCTTTGTGTGCAAGTAGGAGACGGTCCTGCTATTCCGGTGAGCTGGCGAGTCCATCAGTACTTCGACTGTAAACATCTTTCCACACATGGCACGCTTCAGTGTCATAGAACAATCTGCTCGACGGTTGCCTCTGCCTGAAGCTCTGAGGTCAGAAGGGCATGTCTGCTGAGATGATCGCAGACGTGTGGAACGTGGACTTGGCAGAGATCGTGAAGACTCTCGAGATGATGAAATCATCCGTGAAGCGCGACGCTTGGATCGAATTGCTGCGACTCAATACTGTAGCATTGTTCACACAGAAGACGGAGATAGTTGGCCTTGCCAGCCTCATCCTGTTGGTAGAACGTTCTCAGCGTAAAACCTGTTGGGGAGCTTGCTAAAATCTGTCCATGTCTGAGAGGATAGCGCTAGCAGCAGCCGAAGCGGTGGCAGCGAAAGTGGCTGGAACTCATTGGCAACTCGCTCGCCATCCATGTCAAACACGTCAAATGAACAAAGCTTCTGGTGAAAGGCGCAGATATTTGAGTCTAAGCTGCTGTATTGCACTGTACTCCTTTTTCAGTGTTGGTTGCCAAGGTAAAACGCCTCATGAAGGATCCTCCAGATCTTTGTTGCCCCATCTCTCACGAACTCATGGAAGACCCGGTCGTGGCGGCAGATGGAATCACCTATGAAAGGAGTTGCATTGCAGAGTGGCTCAACTCGGATGACCGGAGTCCAACCACTCGAGAGCCATTGTCGACTCATGAGCCATGGACATGTTTGACAAAGACATTTTGTTTCTTTTTGTGTTGCAGGGTTCGGGCTTTTGATTTGTATCTACAGGTGCTCCTGTTTGGAAGTTTGTCGACTGAAATCTCAGGTGCTTAACCCCAGTCAGCACGTGAAGTCCGCTGTCATCGCGCACAAAGAGAAGACGGTCCAGGAGATTTTGTCCGTGGCCTCTCAAGTACCGATTGACGACGCGCTGAAGTTGCTTTCGAGAGGTGAGCAGTTTGTCCGTGCGGCCTTACCCGATGCATCTGCCAAAAGGAAGCTGTCTTCCTTGCTGCTCCTTCGGGTAAAGCGGATGCAGCCAGGAGAGCGTCGCGCAATCGTTGAAGAGCTCGTGCCGATGCTGGTAGAAGTCGCAGACAATTCGAAGCTTGAGGAGTTACTAGACCTGGACGAGCAGGAAGTTCTATGGTTACTTTCTCAAGTAAATTTGGATTTGATGAGATCTTTGAGAATACCTGAACCCCGCAAAATCTTGGTCAGCAAGGAGCTTGCCCGCAGAATCCCAAGCTCCACAGTTGCCGATGAGCAAGGAGACTGCTTGAATTACCTTTGGGATTTCCTCCGTGAACATGAGGGAGAATCTTGGGCAAAAGCAACATCTTTGGTACTGGCAACATTCCATAGCAGATTAACAGCTCAGCTTGAAGTGCTTGACACAAAACTGCTGCGGCAGGCCTGCGATTACCTGAAAAGCCGTGACAGTGCTACGTCTTTCGCAGTGGACTTTTTTAGCTCCGATCTTGGCATTTCCACACTGGAACATTGGCCGCCCAAGAGTTCTTCTTCGATCTTTGCTGAACTTGCCTCACGCCTGGATGAGAAACATGAAGAGAAGGTGGACTTCTTAGCGAAAGCATATGAGCTGGACGACTCTGATGAAGACGTGCGCTGTGCTCTTGCGAAACAGCTTAGCCAACAAATCTCGCAGCAAGGCTTGTCTGATGAGGGCAAACACTTAGAAGGGCTCCTACTCAAAGTATTTTTAGAGAAGAAAGAGGAGATTCCTGCAGAAGTGATACGGAAACTCTCCCTTCAGGGTAGTGATTTGAAGGCGCTGTCTGCAGATGAGCTGATGCTTCTCACGGAAATGCTCAAGAAAGCCGATCGACGAGCAGATGGGGCTCGGGCAGCCGTTGCTGCTGCAGAACTCTTTACTGCCAATGGGAAGGAGGAACAATCTCAAGAGGCCTTGGCTTATCTCTGGGACCTTTGGGATTGGCTTTGCCAAAACCTCAAAGAAGGTGAAGACTCGTCTTGGGCGAAAGCAACATCTTTGGTACTGGCAACATTCCATAGCAGATTAACAGCTCAGCTTGAAGTGCTTGACGCAAAACTGCTGCGGCAGGCCTGCGATTACCTGAAAAGCCGTGACAGTGCTACGTCTTTCGCAGTGGACTTTTTTAGCTCCGATCTTGGCATTTCCACACTGGAACATTGGCCGCCCAAGAGTTCTTCTTCGATCTTTGCTGAACTTGCCTCACGCCTGGATGAGAAACATGAAGAGAAGGTGGACTTCTTAGCGAAAGCATATGAGCTGGACGACTCTGATGAAGATGTGCGGCGCGCTCTGGTGAAACAGCTCAATCAGCATATGCTACGCCAAAGCATTGACGACAACAAACATTTGGAAGGCTTGCTTCTCAAAGTGTATTTGGGGTGGAAAGAGGACATTCCGGTTGATGTGACACAAAGACTGTCGCTTCGGCCAGAGAGCCTCAAGAATGTGACTGCTGATCAGCTCATGCTCCTCGCTGAAATGCTCAAAAGGGCCAAACGTCGCGCAGATGGAGCGAGGATAGCTGTTTCTGCCGCGGAAGCCTTTTCTGCTGAAGGGAAGCAGGAGGAATCCTATGAAGCCGTTGCGTACGCGCATTACCTGGACCGTGCCAATGACCGTGCATCCTTCAAGTTGTGTGAACTTCTAGGGAGCATCGTCAGCAAGTGCAAGGATCTTGGGAACAAGTATAATGAGCTTGATCACAAATGCCACAAAATTCAGGAGTTGAAGGCAGAGGAGGAACCCATCAAGTGCATCAGCTCCTTTTCCTGGGACTTGTCGGGCTATGACTTCAGCAGCTTTACTGAAGATCAGAGGGAGTTTAGCGAGAAGTTTCCGCTTGGTGTGTCCGGCATTGAAGCTTGGCTTGGATTGCGCCCCAAGGCTGCTCCAGACAAGGCATCTCTGTCACTGTGGGTCAACGAGCCCGTCTGGGTGAAATGCCGTGTGCAAGCTGGGGATTGGAAGCACTCCTTGGAGTACAACTTTTCCACAAGAGATGAAGGCGGACTGCAGGGCGTTGGTTGGGGGCACCAGATTCCCACTTCTCAACTTGCCTCAGGCATCACCTTCCATCTGCTCAGCGTCCGCCGTGGCGGATCCTCCTTGCGATGGATTCCTCCGGGCTCGACGGTTTCCAGGCCTCGATTAATTGGACTGACCGCTTTGAGGCCACAGGAGGCACCGCCCGATCGTGAGGTTTGGTTGACGTGTGGTTTGCCGGAGCTGGCGCAGAGCAGCGGGAAGTTCTATTACGAAGTTCAACTGTTGAGTGAGTTTGATTCTCCTCAGATCGGGTGGCTCAACGCAACCTTCCAGGCTGGAGAATATAGCGGGGAGGGAGTCGGAGATGATCCACATAGCTGGGCCTTTGATGGCGAAAGGTGCCTTTGGTGGAACAACGGCAAGAAGCCCTTGCAGCTCGACAGTCCGTGGAAGGCTCAGGATGTGCTAGGCTTTGCCATCGACCTGGATGAAGGGAAGATGCAGCTCTGCACAAAAGAAGGGGGAAAAGTGACCATGCCTTCCCAGGCACACGGGGCACTGCAACTGGTCGGGCATATGCAAGTTTTCTCATTTTCACACACACAGAAGTCCCATGATAGGGGTTACCTTCGCCTAGACTACCCCCCTAGGCGGAGAGTATAGGGGGCTAGGCTAGGCTCTCGTGGCCCAACACACACTCAAATAGAACTTACATCAGCCCCTTTTTTAGTGTAAATGAAGCAGGCCACAAAGTTTTCAAAGCGGAAGATGGGAAGATCCAATTCCGTGGAGAGCCAACCGCCAGCCAAGGTACCCGGCTGTCTCCATCACCGGGTTTTTCCGAATGCATTTGGCCAAATCGACTTGGAGGCTGCAGCCACCCAAAGGCTACCAGGAGTGGGGCCATGGAGACATTTCATGGACCAACTGAGTGGAATTGGCATCGGCGTTTGTCGGCTTTCATAGAACTCCAAGGGCGAACTCCAAAGGAGTTTCCACTGGAAAATGTGGTGCTGAGCACTGCGCTTGGTGTTGCGGGTTGTTTGGTGCGAGACCGCAATGTCGTCAAGCAGGGTGGGTGGGGGTGATGGCAAGTTGAGCTCGGTCGCAGGTGGAGCAGCACTACTGGGTGCAGGTAGCCTCAGAGACTAGCTCAGCAAGGGAATTGCACTCTCGTTTCTCACCTGCGAGCGTGCGCGCAGATGTGTTTGGTGGACCTGAATGGGATACGTAAGAAATGCCTTGTGATCAGCCGCAGATCTATTCTTTTTTAGAGCAGTCCCCAAAGTTCAACACTACCCGTACAAGGCAACAAAAAACAGGTGCAGAGCTTGCTCGCTGTGCAAACTTCCGGCGCTCTAGGAAACATGTTTCCGCTATCCCAAGGTTGATGCAGTCTGCCTCTTGGCATCTCTGAAGGTGGGACTCCGCGCAAATGAGAAGGGAAAGTCTTATCAGGAACCTCTCGTTTTTGGAACATAGCTCTCAAAGGCATAAGTTAGTGCAGCCTTTTCGGCAACCGTATAACTATTCAAATGCTTCAGTTTGCTTGGAGTTTGATGTATGGTCTAGCAAACCAGAATAAAGCAGCCGCTGAGTCACCTAGCAGATCTATGCCACTCACCCACTTGTAGAGTGAAGCTGCCATCTCTTCTTGCCAGGTGCATGTTCTTGCCACCTGCGTGGTCTTGCAAGAGGCAGCTGGTGGTTGAAACGAACTTGAGGTGTACAATCGCAGGTCGGGTTCAGAATATTTCTAGCCAGAAACAAATTGCGCCGGTTTCAACCCCAAAGTTGTTTCCCCCCAAAGTTGTTTCCCTGTTTTGATGCCCCACAAGCAGAAGCAGATGCATTTGTTCCTTTGCCAACAACTTTCCAGGCACACACACACATCACATACGATGCGTTGCGATGAAGTCTTGTTGTGCTATTGGATCCTTAAGGACTGCACCATTGGTGAAGCCAGCCAAGGCCCGGAAAGCAGCGCGTCTGAGATCTTGGGATGGAACATATGCACCTTTGGTCCGGTAGAGTTTTCCCGAGCCCACTTCAACATTTCCAAGCAATCCCAAACATCATCCGATGCTTTCTGCAGCTTTCTGCAGCGACGACCAACCTCCGCCCGCGATCTCCGCCATTGTTCGCTCCGAACGCCATGTCGCGACCGTCCGTGCGAACCATGGTCGCCAGCCTGGCGTGCTTCTTGTGTTTTTGGCTCGGCGTTTGGGCACGGATATGGTGGCATGAGGAGCTGGACAGGAGAAGCAGTTCACCGCAGCAGTGCTGTTGCGTGTTGTGCTAATGTTCATGCTGTTGGTTGTCCTGTCGCTGTTTGGGGTAATCAGAACACAGCACATCACCCTTTGAACGCACATACAGATGGGAGAAACACACTCATTATGAAAGCGACTTGGCAGTAGGATTGAGAGGCTATACATATATATATATATTATATTTATTAATGCATATATTATATATTATATAATATATGCATTAATAAATATATATTTAGTAATATAATGAAACTAAAGCGCAATAAAAAACTGCTGGCATCGTGTCATCCACCTCGGCCTCGAAGGAGTGAGATTGAGATGCTCAAGGCTGAGAATGAACGGTGGATCAAGCAAAGTGACTTGGAAAACGGAATTCTTTCCCATCAGCTTCACAAGTCACAAGTCTTCTGAAATGTGTTTGCGTGTTGTCTCCTGAGGCCGTAGAGACCGTAGAGAGAGAGAGAGAGATTGTTTCTTTGCTTGCATGGAAACTTCCTCCCCGATGCTCCCCTGCAGTCCTCTTTTCTCATCCTTCGATGTGTTTTTTTGGCGCATCAACCGGTTCTGAATTTTTTCGACCGCCAGACGTGCGGCTGCATCGACTGAGCATCACTGTGTGCTTCACTCGTTTCTGCTCCCAAGTCGTTTCTGCTCAGATCGGAGCAGATCGGCTCACGCCTAAGGCGAAAATTGCATTGAAGAGTTGGATGTCCTGAACGAACGGTGTCCTGTTCAGAGTGGCTCAGTCTTCAGCAGTTTCCTTTTCAACATCTTGGGTCCTTCATTGGTCATTAGCCAGGTGCCTTTTTGACTGGCATTAAGACACGTCCTGCTGCAAGTTCACTTGGAACTATCCGTAAAGAGGCAAAGAGGTTGACAGCGGAGAATATAAAAGAATTGAAGAAAACACCAAACCGGGCCAAGCACGGATCTCTTTTCTCTTTTGTTTTCACTCCGTGGATACACAGGAAAGTAATTGTGAGTCAGAACCAAGTGGTGCGAGTGGTTGCGGAGTATGAGAAATCGTTTCTTTCACAGGTGCGGCATGTTTCATTTGGACAGGCGAGTCTTGGTTCTTCCACCTTGAAAGCTAGCATTATGGGCACCAGATGAGCTGTGACATGTCGAAGATCTCTGGTTCTTTTTCACCTCCCTCAAAGGATCTGATCCACGAGTTCATGCGTTTTGATTGCCAAAGACATGGACAAAGGGTTTGAACTATATATACATACCAGAGCTCCAGGAGTGTGCCACGTGTCCCAGGAAAAAACGGTTTCGACCAAAGCATATCTTCCAAACGAATCGACTGCCGTTGAAGAGAGGCGATCCGAGCTGTGTCGATGAGTTGAAGCGCCTTAAGCAGCGTTGCTCACGTGACGCTCAACAGAGCTCCTCGGGTTGCATGGAGGAAGGTTCGGGTTCGGGTTCGGTGTTTTTGCGGAACAGACGGTGGATATCATTTCAACAAGCACTCCAATATACTCCAATCGTTTCAGAGCATTTGCAATCAGTCCAAGGAACCCAGTGTTGGTGCTTTTTCTGGTGGTTGTGAGTGCCTGCCCGACTTGGTTTGGTTTGAGCTTGCTTGAGGGAAAGTGCTGGCAGCAGCTGACCATCCCACACATCCCTGAAGCATCATTCTCATTGTTCAAGAACATTCATGTAATTTTGCACCACACGAGCTCAGCTCATACAAGTGCAAAGTTCATCCAGACTCCTTTGGTGTCTGGATGATCCTTTTTTCTCTTCTTCCACAGCCAGCTTTTGTTCAAACCCCTGTGGCATGTGTCTTTCGAGCATCTTTCGAGGAAGCCTCCCCAAATCCACTCAGGTCTGGTAGGAGCAGCTTCTTTCTTCAATGCGCTAAAGACCATCGCTGTGACTGTCGCGGCGGCAGCGGTGGCTATGGCCGCTGTGGCCCACCGCTGGACACACCGCCGGGTGGAGGCGCCAGAGCCAGGCGACGGTGGAGGCGCCGAGGACGCCGCGGAGGCGGCGGAGGCTCTGGCGACGGTGGAGGCGGTGGAGGCTCCTTCTCCAGCGCCAGAGTTGCAGCCGGAGACGGAGAAGGAGACAGCGACGTTGCCGGGCGATGCTGTGAAGTGGGTCGGGTGGATGGAGAGACACGAAGCGTGTGCTGGGTGTGAGTTAAGGTGAGCTAAGTCAAGATGAGCTGTTGCGAACATGTTTATTTATGTTTATTTCACAGACTAGAAACCTGCGCGCAAACTTGAATGGGTGCTGTTGAGAAGGTGTTACACTGCAGTCATTTGTGAAGCGTTCAGGTGCATTCACACACTGGAAGGAATCATCGAATCACCCCTATACACTCACAGGCGAACTTGGCTCAGCCCAGGAAGGTGAGGGGGCTGAGGGCCGAGGGGGGCGCTCTTCCTGGAGGCCGTCGTGCCGCAACGGACGTGTTGCGGGTGTCTCCAAGGCTTCCTTCCTCCTCCACCAGCGATGCCAGCGATTTGGTGGATGAGGCGGGGAATGACTCGGAGCATTCCTCCTGCTTGGTGTCCCGGTTGCATCTCAGGTCGGACAGTTCAAAGCGCTTGTGTTGACAGCCTTCTGAAGGCCCTTTAAGAGAGTGTTCTAAAAAGAACAAGGAAAGGGGAAAAAACAAAGGAAGACAGGTCCAAGGACAAAAATACGAATGAGAAGAAAAAGGGTCTAAAGAAAGAAAAGAAGACAGAGCGAGATAAAGAAAGAGAGAACTGAGAAATAGGTTCTATGTCTTATAGTAGGAAGGAAACTACTAGGGGCTCCTGGCCTTACTACTAGGAGCAAGGAAGCTACTAGGGGCTCCTGGCATCGCTACTAGGAGCGATCGGACGCTACGAACGGGGCTCCTGGGTGGAGGCCATTGCTACTAGGTTGGAGTCCATGTCTGATTGTGAGTGAGTAAAATGGTTCTTGTGTTTGAAGAGTCGGAATCGTGCAATCAGTGTAATCAGAGCCTTCAGAAGGCGGACCTCCGGTCGTCGTGTTGCTTGGGGCGTGTTGTGTCGTTGCTTGGGGCGCTTGTGCCGTGTCGTTGGGGACGGCCTCACGTGTATGGTCTTTCTTCCTTGCATTTGATGCGTTTCTAGCCGTTCATCCCAAAACAATCTGTCCAAAGGCATCCAAGACATTGATATTATTCTTTTTGTGAGCGATCAGTAGTTACACAACCCAAGCAACTATCCTCTCCCTTCCAATGTCCTTCAAGAAATACAAGGTGCAACTGAACATCGCAACATCACAAGAACCGAACCTCCCAGCCTCCCAGGGCTCACGCCGCGTCGTTTCGTGCACCACGTGAGGTTTCGAAGAACGACGCCGTCGAGCTCACCGAGCGGGTCGACCCACCAGGCGTCGAAGTGCTGCAATGAACGCCATTTATTTCAAGAAGTTTGGGGAACAGATTGCAAACATAATTGGCAATTGGTGCAGATGGCGGATGAACGACTTTTTTGCATCGAACAGTTTGGTGCAGATTCCGGATGGCGATTTTTGTCCAAGCAGATTGCGGATGCAGGAGAAACACCCGAACGATCCCTAACGTATTTCATACAGCATTTCCAGGAATTGGTGGTGCCCCTCCTAGTGTTGTGGATATGCATTCCACAACGGCCCCCCTGTCAGGAGTGGCGACAGAAGCCGAAACGGACATGTCTCAGCCGAAGAAGGATGATGCGAAGCCAACGCTTTTTGGCTTTGACATGCTGGCAAGGTTGAATTCTTTAGCAGTCAGAGATGAAGTCGGGTTCATTGTTTTCTTGATTTCTA